TAATTTATGCTTTATCCCTGCCTTAACTCTATGACCCTGTTATTAAAGTGTGAGCATTAGTCAGTTAGTATCTGTTAGGGGGCATCTATACCTAATGATTATATTTCTAAAAAAAACGCAGCTATACTTATAAATATTCTGCAGTAAAAAATGTGTTTGTTTAAAATCACGTACCTGAGCCTAAAATATTGACATTAACCAGCTAATCAACTTTGATCGGCCTTAGTATATTATAATTTTCAGGATAGAATATTTGATTTTTTTTGTATAATAAAAAATTTGTAAGAGATTTTTAAAATTTTTTCTATTTTAAAAAATTTTTTGACAGTTTGAAATATTTTGAAATTTGACATAGATCTAATTTTTTAAAATCTTGATTTGTCAATTTTTTTCTTAATATTTGGTGCTTTTACGAAAAAAGTGATTACTGTATTATGTTAAACGCCAATTATCTTATTAATATTTTCAATGCAATGTGTATATGAAAAGCCAAAAGCATCTCTAAAAAATATTATAAATTTTCATAAATTCAAAAACAAAAAATTAAATTTTATAAGCTGACATCGATAGCTTCTGAATGGTTGTCGCGTTTTTCAACTGTTTAATGATCTTAAATAGTTCATTTTCTCAAATAAAGATTATATGCATTTTTTGTGCAAGTTTTTATAATAATTGCTCTAATTAATGAATTCTTTATACTCACCAATCATAGTTGAATAAATAATATAGAAACTTTAGTGATATTAAATTAAAAGAGAATATGGCTTTATTTACATATAAAGTAGTTTGAAAAAGAAATTATAACTATGTACAAGGTCATATCACCATATTTGGGCTTAAAAAAGCTGATATTTGGATGGTAATTTAATACAATTTACCATACCAAACTGCTATCTTTATTTTATATTGGTAAAGATGGTTATAAAGTTACTACAGACCAAAATACAATCAAAAGGAATACTAACAAAAAATATAGTAGACAATTTTTATATTACATCAGTTAGTTCAAGGGAGTAATAAAAAAATTATTCTGATGCTGGTGTGATGGTAATAAATGAAAGCGCGTTGGTACCCTTTCCCCCAATCAATTCAACAACATAGGGTGCTGCTTCAGGTTCAAATAGAACACTATATGAATTTTTTCCAATAACTGGATTTTTCCAGGAGAGAACAAATAAATAGCTGCCTCCAATAATAAAACTAGCTGAACCTTCAATTGGAATAAGTGCTTCATCTGATTGACTGGCAAAAGTTACACTTGTGCCATTGTATAATGTAGTATCAATCGTATTAGCATCACATTCAGAAGTCCAACTTCCATGATCAAGAGAGCCCCCAATACAATTAATATCAGTTCCACTATAATTAATTAAATAGATCGTTATGCTACGATATGCTGAAAATGCATTATCATAACAACATTTGGATTCAATGCTTTGGCAATATGTCGTGGAGGACACTTGCGAGACAATAAAGATTGCCACAAAAGATAAAATTAACAAGAGTTTAGACATTGAAATACTAATTTAAATAGATGAGGTTCAGTAAATAGTTTTGAACAACAAAAATAGCATTTTTTTATTTATCCTCAGTGAATAAGTGCTTACCTTTATAATAGTGTGAAAATATAAAAAAAAACACCATTATGATAATTATTTGCCAAGTCGCATGCATTTTTATAGGTGCAAACTTTGCAAGATGAACAGTGAGTGGCTTTGATTTTTTATTTATTTATTTTTGTTTATGCAATGCTTTGCATGAACGTGAAATTTTTAGAACCATTCAATTGAATAAATGAACTAATAGCTCATTTGATTAAGATTAGATCCGGAAAACTTATAGTAACAATAATGCTTAAATTTTGAATTACACACACTATCACTAAGTGTTCTGCCTTTGAGCAGTTCTCAAGCGCCTCACTCAATTTATCTGTTTTGATTAATGGAAATTCGAATCAACTACTAAAGAAGTTATTATTTCGATGAACTAAAAATGGACATCTTTTGCTCTCAGACTAAAATTTAAAATCCATAATTCGCATAATAACGAAAACAAACCACTTCAATTAATTGCAATGTTCGAGCAACATATCGAACACTTTTAAATCACATTGAAGGAGCTACTTGAGAATGCTCTTAGCTTACTTTAATGCTCAAAAACGAAACAATCTATTTACGTTTTAGATCGCAAAAACTTTTGCTAAGCTAACTTTATCTGAACTATTTGTGGTATTAATAAACCGTAAATATTTTAAAAAACTATATTTATTATTTATCATTTGTTTTTTAAAATTAAGAAATAAATATAACAATATTTCAACGAAATACGAGTGTGAAGTACAATCAGCATGAGGCTTGTTCAAGTAATTTTTAATTTGATTAAAATTAATACTTCATGGTTTATACTATGTAAAAGCATTCATTACCAATTTATTATATTTTTTACATTTGTTTAGTCTGCATCATCAATTAACCTTTTTTTCCTTTATATTGACTTGTTCTAAAAAAACAAAATTTACCCCGTTTTTGACGCATGGATTTAATACAACTGTTATTGAAAAAAATATATCATAGGACATAGTCAGCGACTTGCATACATGAGTTATCACTTGGCCTTGTGATACAAAGTTACAATATAGAGACAGTTTACTGATTTTGGATGGCAAAAATCAAGATAAAAAAACAACTTAAAAAAAATGAGGATTAGTATAGTTGTTAGCTACACAATAAATTTTAAATCCATTAACGAAAGTAATTATGCTCCATATGTCTCTTGACATATTATGTCCAGGAGCCTAATATAAATTATAAATTTCAAAGCCCGAAGTAGGGCTCCGCACAGACATTGGCTTGACTAAAAACTAAAGCCCTCAATCTGGGCCTACATTTAAGCCTCTGCATAGCCCAAGCCCCAAAGTCTTGTTTTCCTTTGGCAGTGAAATGTTATAATTAATTAATTTAATAGTTTTCGAAAATTTAATGTGCAGCCGCCTCTCGAATCTTCACCATCAATTGTTTATAGTTATATTAATATATATGTAATTAATGTATATATGATTTTTCCCTTTACTCACATAAGACCAAAGATTTTTAGACCACTTTTTGTTGCAATTAGTTTGCCATTTCGATTCAAAGAACTTTATATTGATAACCCAAAATTTAGGGCCTTAAATAATGTGTCAAAATGCATAGTGAATAAATTTTACTCGGCAAAAAATATTTTCAGCGTTTTAAAGTGTATTTATAATCCGTTCTTACCCTTGCTTATCGTACCCCTGTCCTAATTAACGCATCACGAGTTAAGTAAGATCACGGGGATTACTGCGCCTATTTTCATCTTCAATAGTAGAAAAGTGATATAGGACATTAGTGGCATGAGTGCCTTATAATTTTAATAGTAGTGTTACGGGCAGAATTGTAAGTCACCCAAGTGTTACGGGTAATTCCGTAACAGTTGATCAGCATGTCACACAGATCATGGGGGTAAATTTTTTACTATGAAATTCGAGTGATCGACATCTATATGAAAAATCACATTTTCATAATAAATTGCAACGGTCTGCTTTTTTAATCACCGTTTTCAGGGGTACTTTAAAAGGATTTCGCACTCACATGTAACGTGACAGTTCGGAAATATAAATACTTTCTTGCGTGAGAGTTCAAATTGAAGCAGAAAGTAAAACTGAGAAGAATC